TGCCAGAGAAGCTGGGACTTCTGCTTTCCGGGCCCTGAGCCAGATGCCACTGGGCAGGAAGCGGGACCACCTGGTCCCAACAGGCGCCAGCCCTCCACTTCCTTCTTTCACTTTCTGCACGTGTGTGGCCTCCTGGGCTGAGCTCCCTCTGTCAGTCTGGGTCCTCAGATCCTCCAGGGCCCTGCAGGGGACACAGGCTGGACAGAAAGCTTGGGAGGAGGTCTGTCCCTCAATGTCCTTTGCATGTTTGATGGAAGAATGCCACACACTCTCATAGCAGGTGAGATGAACCCCCATACCTGCTTTCAGAGTTTTCACCTGGCCCTTCATGAAGTGCCCAGGACCAGCCAGGTGTGCTGACCTTGCTGCCTGAAGGCTCCCTTCCCTGTTTTACAGAGTAGAAGCAGATTCACAGCCATCATGTGCGCTACTTGGTGTACGTGCAGGTGTGTCCAGGTGTGTCAGTGTGCTGTGTGCATATGGGGGTGAGAAAACACGTGTGTGGACCTGTGTGTGTGTCCAGGTGTGTGTGCACTGGTGTGAAGGGATGTGCACATGGGTGAGTATGAGTGTGTGCATGTGTGTATGTGTGTTGAGGAGTGAGTGTGAGTGACGACGTGAGGAGTGAGGTGTGTGTGCACATGGGTGAGCAGGAGTGTGTGTGTGTGTCCAAGGGTGAGTGTGGGTGAGGACATGTGAGATAGTAAGTGAGGTGTGTGTGTGCACTGGTGTGAAGGGTGTTCACGTGGGTGTGTATATGTGTGTGTGTGAGTGTGTATGTGTGTGTGTGCGTGAGGACACATGAATGGGGAGTGAGGGGTGTGTGCACTGGTGTGAACGGTGTGCACGTGGGTGAGTGTGTACGTGTGTGTGTGCATGTGAAGACACATAAACAGCGAGTGAGAGGTGTGTGCACTGGTGTAAAGGGTGTGCACGTGGGTGAATATGCGTGTGTGTGCATGCACACACAGGGCTGAGTGCGTGTGAGGACACGTGAGTGTGGACTTGTGCACTGTGCTGTCCAGTGTAAAAATAAGGCCAGATGAAGCAGGATAACCTTTGACCTAGATGTCAGATAGGATGTCTTGGGGCTGACTTGTAAGAAGTCCTCCTGTCTTCTTTCTGAGAATGTTCCAGAAGTGGTAAGAAGGGCAGCCATGTGTGTGTGTGTGTGTGTGTGTGTGTGTGAGAGATGTGCTTTTCAAAGCCTCATTCTCATTTCCTCTTCATGAATTTGACAGTTTCATAAAGTGTGGTCCTTTGTCCCTAAACCTTGGATAGGGCATAGCTGATAAGCAAATGGAGGCTGCCTCCCAACCCCATGATCCCCCCCAGGGGTTGGAAGAGGGACAGGCATTCAACTGTGCCTGACAGACAGACAGAGAGACAGGCAGCTGGGTGGCTGATCTGCTTCTGAATGACCCCAAAGGGCAGGTGTGGGATAACAAGAATTTCCCTTCCAAGTTGAAGGCAGTCTTTTTCCCAGCTCTGAAGAGGCCAAGTGTCTGTGGCCAGCCTGGGTGACCTAGAATTACATCCCCAAAGATGTCAGTCAAGACCCCACCCCCGCCGTCATTTTCATGAAGCAAAGGTCGTGCGCTCAGAGCTCTGCCCCAGGTCCCCTCAGGGTTACTGTGGATGAGGTAGACCCAGGAGGACCCAGGTGGTCAGTCACCAGGCCTGGCCTTATGTGCTGATACCAACAGGTGTCAAGGAGGCTGCCCATCCCCTTGGTCCCCAAGTCGACAGTCTGTGGTCTAGTGAAAGTCTGTGGCCCCCCCAGTCCAAGCTCCTGGACAGTTGTTGGTCCAGCAGCACCTGGACTGGTGTGGAGATCTATGGGCAGCAGAGGAGGGTCAGCTTGGTCCTCGTGTCCTCCCTGACAGTTACAGGAGGGGCAGGGGTGAATGACCAGGAGCTGCTTGGACCTTGGCATCCCAGAGCCCCTCCAGGACCACTGGTGTCCCCTCACGTGCAGGGCCAGTACACAGCCTAGGGCAGTGGATTTGGGGTACAGGGATAATGCCCCACAATGGCATTCATGGGTATGTAGCCTGGGTGGTGAATGTGGTTTGGAGGGAAGGCACTCCCACCCCTGGTGTGGACGGTACATTTTGAGTGCAGAGAATGACACCCCCTCCTCACAATGTCTGGGTGAAGGGCCGGCCATCTCTTCTCATGCGATTAACTGCCTCTGAAAACCCACTGGAGGGCCAGCTATGGGTCGGTTCTGACTTTATGGTATCACTACCACCTCACAATGCGAACACACAACCTGAGGTGGTGAATTTGGCGTGCAGGGATGACACTTCCCCTCATAGCATGATCTGGGGTGACGAGTGGGGTGTGGGGACACCACGTGGGGCCAGGAACTGGTTGTTTGAACAGCAGTGTTCATCTGCCTGCAAGCTGTCACCGTATTTGATTCCATAAACAGAGGCTGAGTCTCCCTACACCTGCTCCCCAGCCCTCACGGCTGGAGCCAGAGCCTGAGCAGTGCCCCTTCCTGCATCACCTGCCAGCAGCCTGAGGGTCAGCCATGGCCAGCTGCCCCCTAACCCT